AGCATGAGAAAGGCAGGGAGAAGTCTCCGTTGTTCCACCACCAGCCCGTCTGCTACCTTCGATGACGTTTCAGCGCCTCATGAGCCTGGAGCGAGCACATCTGTCCAAAGTGGGGTGAAAAGCACAAGCACGTGCTGGAGGACGCCCAGCCATTCTCTTTTTGTCATCGGCTATTCTACATATTTTAGCATGACATATTTTTAAGTGAGAAAAAGTATTGCAAATATGCAGTCCAACTTTGACCATAATACAGAATTCTGATAAAGATAACAGTTGCCATTCACCATTTTCCAAATAAGTGCTCCCACTTATAGGAACATCGACACATGTGGTGCGTGAGTGGGTTAAGGACTGAGAGGCTAGAAAATGAAGCGCTCACAAGGCATTTCTGGCCCTTCCAACCACGCGGGTACATTCGTCGCAAATCCCCGATTTTTAGACAAAATGATTTAGAATGAGCAAATCTTGTCTACGCCCGAGGTAGAACATTGAATTGTGATTCCCCCATATTGTGCCAACCATCCTTCAACCTGCGGTACCACCTGCAAATGAACTATGTTGTGCTGCGGCACGCGTCCATGCTGCCTGCTTCAGAGGAAAACCACTGCTCGTGTTGAAGCCGACATCCCACAATGTACAGGCAACAATGTTTAACGAACTAAAACAAAATTGATATCATTCAATAGACACAGATAGGCTCACAAAGTGTCGACACCATGATTGTTGTTGTTGGTTTTACTCTTGCATACAAACAAAAATGACTTCCTCTTTCCTCCGATGTACAGTAAAGCCCCCTGATCTTCGTGGCCCCTATTTTTTCTCGAATCGGTCACAGAGGACATAATCGCAGCCACTGAATTCCGCAAAATTAAAGGCCGCGAAAATTAAAGGTTCGCCAACATTAAGGGGTTTACTGTACTTCCGTGTATCAGATGATGTTAACATTTCAAGGAGGCTGAAGGTATTCGTTTAAGAAAAAATTGACCTATGAAAAAAATGCTCTTCTCCAGGTTAGGCACGCAAGGTTCTACCTATAAGGCGGCAAGTTTGTTTCGGCAGAGCTTTTAGTAAAACGGAGTCACAAAAGTAGCTATACTTCGCGTCAACTATTTTGTGCTGCAATATAAAGCTAGAGTAAATCCCACAGTGCTTCGGCACAGCACTGTTTGTTGCGAGAGCATATAGTGTTGCATCCCATTTGCATGATCTAGAGAAACTAGCGCTGACAGAGTTGGAGCACTCCACGTAATAACAGCCGACTGTAGAAGCATTGAGAGATGCACACATGCGAACTGTGCATTTCTTAAAAGTGGATTTGAGCAAACGTAAAAACAATATGTATACTTACGGCGGCCATACTTGCCTTTCCCAAGAACGACGACTTTTCCCTCGGTAGCACCATCCAGTAAGAAGCACCAGCAACACGCCCATGAGACGCCGCCGACTCCTGGATTGAATGACGACCCGCCTGAGGTCTTGGAAGGAGATCCGGAACACTGCTTCAGGCCAGATGTTGTATCTGGTGGGGCAGGGACTAAAAGTAAAAATTAACAAATTTATCTGAAGCGCTACATTCCTGTAGCATAAACTCTAGAATAGCAGTATTTTTTTAGGCCAGTGATGCGTTTTAATTAAACACAAATGGTTGGTTTATATGATGAACCAGCAGCCCCTATTTTGCTTAGGTGTAACGCAGTGTCTAACGTTACGTCCGACGGAACCCGAAATAAAAATTAAAGTTACCGTATTTACTCGAAAATAGGTCAAAGCTTATTTATTGGACCCACCGAGAATAAAAAAAAAAAATAATTCAAATATAGGTCGACCTTTTTTTTTATTTTTAACACAGGGGAAATTTTGGGCAATAGAAAGAAACAAACCTTTATTTACATCTCTTAGCTAAATCACGGGGCGATGCCAAAAACTTAATCACCGTCAGAACTTCTGGGCATGTCATCGTCGTCCGAAGCTTCGTCAGCTTGGTAGACATCCTCGCAAATTCGCAACAATACTTCACTGACACCGTTGTAAAATGACAAGAAGAAACGAAAGAATGTGCGAAGCGACGAAAGACAAACTACAAAGACGCAAGCAAAGCCGCCGTGTCGCCATGAGCACGCGAGCCGAGCCGCCTGAAGCAACTAACAAAAGTAACATTTTTCTTTCTTCTTTTTTTGTGCGCGTTTGCGAGGATGGAGGGCAAAGTGCACGGCGCATCGCGTTCCTCTCCTTCCCCGTTGCCGAGCAAGGGGAACGCTAGAGGCGCGATGGCGAAATCCGACGCCCGAGGGGTGCGCGCGATAGCGGCACCGGCCACCGCGGGCGGAGGGCCATTTCGGTTGTTTACCAAAGGAGAGAGAGAGATAAATACTTTATTTTAAAACAACTCTTAGTCCGAGTCGTCGCTACCTAAGGAGCCTGGCTGGACCCCTGGCTGTGGTGCTGGGTCCGCTTGACAGGATCCCCTTATGTGTTTGATGTGGGCCACCAGCAATGGCCACAGGGTCGGGCGGAGTTCCTGGGGTGGAACGGTCCAGCTCTCCCAGGAATAGGGGATGGAAGGTGGGATGTGAGATCGGGTAAGAATGTAAGGGGAAGAGAGGGCTCTAGGACATTCCCAGTAGGTGTGAAAGGCGTTGGGGTAACCGCCGCATACCTGAGACGCCGGTTTGCCAGACCTGTTTTCAATGTGGTGCTGTATGGCGTCGTTGGGTAGCGTAAGTGTCTGTGCCTGACGGATTAGGGCTGCGTCTCTCTAATGTGTGTGTGGGATGGTGAAGGAAGAAGAAGCCTGTTAACTTTGGCTTCTTTGAGCCGAGCGCGGCGTTGTTTCCGGTGGTCGGCTCTGGCCTCTCTGGGACAGTATGTCTCTGGCCATCTAGTGGGGTTGCTCGGTGTTAAGTGGTCGCGAGCTGGGGCATGAGCTCGTTCATAGCCCTCTATTCCCTGGTGACCCGGGATCCACTCGAGGAGGACCTGAAGCGTAGGATGTTTGCGCATGTATTTAGTGAGTGTTGTGCGAGTATGATCTGGAAGTCTATTTTGTGTGAAAGCTCGTAGCGCTCCCTGACAATCTGTGCGTATTGTAATGGTGTCAGTGTTGTGTGTATGTGGGCAAACGGCTTCTGTAATGTCCTGTATCTCGGCGGCGATAGGAGAAGGTACTGCTGCGTGACTGCGGATAGTCTCGTTCCTTGGTCCCACCACGGCTGTGGTGGTCTTCTCTGGAGTATGTGCGGCGTCCACATAGTAGGTTTCGTTGTCAGGTGTGGTTAGATGGTTAGCACGTGCTTGTCGTCTGCCTGGGTGACTGTCCGCATTCATATTCTTGGGAACAGGTAAAACCTTTATGTTAGGGATAGAATCCCAGGGCGGGGGTGCTGGCGGGATGTCTGGTAGGAGCTTAATGTCATATCCCAGATCTTGTAGAATGGCCCGGCCTTGAGTAGACGTTGTTAATCGATGGTGTTGAGCTTCGTTATGGGTGTTAGTCTTTTCGTCTAGCGTGTTGTGCATCGGGGCTGCTTGTGTATCTGCGTTTTTGGCATACGGTGGGACTCCGAGCTGCACTCGCTGGCATCTACGCACCGTGGCTTCGAGTTTCTTCTGCTGCGATTTGTTGAGGCGAATGTAGGGGTATGCGTACATGATTCTCGAGTAAAAAGTTGCCTCCATGATTTTGCCGATTTCGTGTTCTTTAAGGCCCGACTTGCGCTTAGTGACTCTGTTTATCATGTGTACGATCTGGTGTACCTGCTGCGTAGTGCGCTTCTTTCATTCTGTACTGCCTCCATCTTGTTGCCAATAAAAACCTAGAATTTTTATGACACGTCTCCGTGGGATGTGAAGTCCGTCAAGATGTAGCTTGATGAGGTTTCTGGTGGATTCAGCCTTCTTGTGGTAGGAGTTGAGGACTACAACGCATTCGGATTTCTCCGGGGAGCAATGTAGGCCAATACTTCGTGCATGTGCTGAAATGATGTCGAGGCCCTCTTGCACGGTCGATTCGTGCTCTCCGGCGTTTCCTTTGGTACACCAGAGAGTGATGTCGTCCGCGTAGATGGCATGGCGAAGGTTTGAGACCTGATTGAGCTTGTGAGGAAGGTTCTTCATTGCGAGATTAAAGAACGTCGGCGAGAGTACCGCACCCTGGGGTGTCCCGCGATGTACTGGAAACGCATCGGATGGTTGGTTGTCCGGCCCCAGAATGCGGATAGTTCTGTCAGTGAGAAAATTCTCGATGAAATGAAGCATTCGTGATCCGGGGTTAGTCTCTGCCAAATTTTGTATGATGGCGTTGTGAAGAACGTTGTCGAAGGCCTTTTTGATATCTACCCCTACTATGGTCCGTAGTTGTACTGCGCTGGGTGTAGCATAGACTTCTTCGTGTATCATCAGGGCCACGTCCTGGGTACTGACGTGTTTCCGAAAGCCTATGAGAGTATGAGCCAGTTGATCCGTGTTCTCGAGATGCCATTATAGTCTTGTGAGGGCCATTTTTTCCATGAGTTTGCCTACGCATGACGTCATGGAGATGGGGCGTGAGTTCCCTGGGTTGTTGAGCGTTTTTCCCGGCTTGGGCAGCATGGTTACATGCGCTTCCTTCCATGCAAGCGGTATTTGGCCAGTCTCCCATACTCGGTTGATGATCTTTAGAAGTTCTGTTTGGTGGTTGTTCGGTAGATTTCGTAGGATGCCATATGTGATTTTGTCAGGTCCCGGGGCAGTGTTGCGCCGTAGCAGCTGTAGGGCCATTTGAAGTTCCGCATGGGTAAATGAAGAGTTTATTCGTGTCCTCTGAAGTATTTGCAGCCGGAATGTCGATGGGCTGTGGGTCAAAAGCTGGATAGGAAGTTTCCCGGATCTCCTTGATAAAATCTTTCATCGTACAGCCTGTTTGTAGCTGGTAGCGTTGCAGGGCGTGTCGTGGCTTCGGTTGGCCAAGCAATGCTCGAAACATGTGCCACACCCTGGCGGTGTGCAGTTGCCCGTTCATTTCGTCACATAATTGGTTCCAATATTGCATTGCTAAGTGCTCTGCGTATTGTTGACTTTCTTGTGTAATCTCGTATATTCTTTGTATGCTTGTTCTTTTTCCAACGTTGGATTAAGCATCGTCGTTTAGTCCAAAGGGCTAGAAGATAGTTGTCGACATGGGGGTGGTCTTCAGTTTTGCATATCGTCTTCGTATGCTTCTGGATAGTAGTGTGGATGAGTCGCGTCCATTCCTCCGGGTCGTCGACTGGATCATTGCAGTCCTCAAGTTCCCTGCGGGCTTTGGGCCAGTTCACGATTTTTGCCCGGTTGCAGTTGGCAATCGGTGCTCCGCGTTTCTTACGCAGTTGGATTTGGATCTCCAGGATATAATGGTCACTTCCCAGAGAATCTTGGGTGTTTTCCCATGTCGCCGGGAGATGGCTCCTGATCCATGTGAGATCGGGTATTGTATCTTGTTCTTGTGCCGTGCCGATTCTTGTAGCTTGGGTAGTATCGTTCAGTAGCGTGAAGTGCTGATTGCTTTTGAGGTTGTCTAATTTGCGGCCTAGTGAAGTTGTTTGAGTATATCCCCATGCGGCGTGGTGGCTGTTAAAGTCCCCCAACAGAAGTGTGGAACGCTGCCTGCTGGGCCTGGCTTGTATAGATCTGAGTTGTGCCACGGTGAAGTCCTGTTGATTTGGAATCCAGTAACAGTTGACAATATCGAGCGTGTGTTGACCGATGTCTGACCGTGTAGCAACGTGCTCCACGGTGTGGGTATTCATGTGTGCCGTCTCTATTTGGATGGTTGGAATGGATTTTCTCACGTATGTGGTTGTCATGGTTGGGATGTTGGGTACGATTGTGCCTCTTTGCTTTTGGCGGATACTTGGTTCCGCAAAGTGGTTGTAGCCACGTATTGGGAAAATTCCCCTAGTTTCCTGGAATACGATGATATTGGGCTCAGTCGCCGTGAGAATCATGTGTTGCAGCAAGTGCTCCTTCTTTCGACGCAAGCCTCTGCAGTTACATTGCCAGATTATAAGTGTCTGTGGTACTGTTGTGTGCTGACGTGGTGTCACTTGTGTAGGGTTAGTTGTCATTCTGGTGTTCTACGGGCTGTATCGCGGGGCGTTTGTGTGGTTGCGCCTTCTCTTTTAGGGCCTGTATACGACTTTATAGAGCCTCAAATTGTTGTGTGTAAGGGGCAAGTGTTGTGCTTATGACGTGTGTAAGTTGCTCCCTGATTATGCGTTCAAGAGTGTGCTCTACTGTTTGCTGGATTATCTGTTTGAGCTGGGCAGTGAAAGCTTCAGAGTAGAGAAGAGATGGAGGTGGGTGGGAGGGAGTGGGTATTGGGTTGTGAGGTGGGAGAGCTGGACCACTCAAAGGATCTGTCGCTGTTGACTGCGACGAATGGGGTTCGATGACCGGCAGGGGTGGCCATTCCTTCCGCAAAGTTTCAAATATTGTGGTCTCCGTTGCTGATTCTTGAGAGTTGTTGCGGGTACGCCGGAATGGTGCCGACGCCACCCGGGCGGCTGGTTTGTCCCATGATCGATTCATGGCTTCGGCGAACGTAACTTTAGGTTTTAAAATTGGTGGTATCTTTTTCTTAGGGGTGTGCTTGTCTTGCATGCCGCTGGTCCTGCTCTGGCTGCGATTGCGACTGAAGCTCTGACTCCTGCTTCTGCTTCGATGGTGAGATGCCAGCAGTGCGTAGCGATTGTTTGTGGGCAGGTCCGGCCAGTCTGTCGATGAGTCACGCTGGGGGCTGACCGGAGTGGCTGTAGTCGCCGTGTTTCAGCTCTTCGCCCCGCATTATTGTTAATTTCTGTTCTGCGAGGGCAATGAGGGTCTGTGGCAGCGTGTTCGCCCTGACAGTTTATGCACTTGGTGTAACACTCGTGGGGGGTCTCGGACGGGATCTGGGAGGGCGGAAACTTTTGGCCGCAGTTGGCGCAGCACACATATTCAGTTCGGTTTGGGCACACATCTGAGCGATGTTGCAGGCTAAAGCAGTAAAGACATAGCTTGTTCAGTGGTTTTGGTGGGTAAAGCTTGTAGACGCCGGAAGAAAAGATGGCGTACCGCGGGATGGTAGGGCCTTCTACCGTGAGGAGAAGAGTGTACGTCGTGCCAAGCCGCCGGAAGTTGATCATCCGTTTGCCCTGGATGTAGAGTGCCTCTTTGATGGTAGCATCGGTGACGTCCAGAGGAATGCCGTGAATGACTACCCGAGCGTTGTTGGGGTCGTTAGCTATGTATGTTGATAGCGGATGAAGTTTATCTTTTAATTGCAATGTGCTGGAGAGCCATGATCTTTTCCGCAGCGGTGGGGCGGTAGGTGTCGATGGCTATCAAGTTTTGCGGGGCCCGAAGCTTTATGTAAGTGTCCAGCCGTTCTTGTTTGGTGAGTTGGGCAGTCGTACATATCTGGTTACTAATCACAATGAGCGGGAGAGTAGAAAGGTTAAAATTGTCGGTGGCTTTCATTATGACAGTCATTGCGGTGGTTTGTCGAGGCGCCAGTGCAACTGCTTTCTGCGAAGTCGTGCCTTCGGAGGTTTCCATGCTTTGAGGTGACGAGGCGATGGCAGCTGGATCGGTGACTGACATAGCGGTGGCGATAACGGCGCTGATGGTATGCGGTGCGGTGCGAGCTTTTATCGCAGCTGTAAGTGAGTCGTTGGCGCTGGCTGCCGTATTCCTCGCGAGGCTTAGGGCGGTGGCACCGGCTGCAAGGGGCTTACGGTAGCTTTTAAGGTTTTTCCGAGGTCCGGAGCCTTGAAGAAGTGGATTCCTGGGTTGCCGAAGACGGTGTTTGACCCTGTTATCTATTTGGAGTCAATCCTGGGATCAGGACCGGGAATTCACGAAGTCTTTCCGGGGGCATAAGATTCAGCGTTCTACAGCTGGGGCACTTCGTCTTCTTTTTCTTACCAAAAGCTTTTTGAAACAAAAAGCGGCGCGGCTCTACGGCAACGCCGGCTCGGTGACTCGATAGCTTCATGCCTCCGGTAGGGTCGCAAAATTTGGTCGCGAATGTAGGTCGAAATTCTTTAATCACGATTTCCAAAAAAAAAAAAAGGTCGACTTATATTTGAATAAACACGGTAGTCAGCCGCGCGACGAGACACACATTATGAAAGCGATTGGCGCGAGCAACGAAGGCGATGAGCGACGTTTTCTAGAAGCCCAAGAACCGAGCGGCGCAAGCAGCGAGAGTGAGAAATCTTCATCGCTCAGCGCCGGCACTCGTAGCTTCTCGCCGTCGCTCGTCTCGTTGATCGCTATATTGCTTACATGCCGTTCAGAAAGGCGCTTTAAGTGCTTACCATTGCATTGGGACCAGCCTCGCATCCAACCGTAATCAGTCTTGACTTTTTTTGAAGGCGCCCAGGTAGAAGTTAACATCGTACATACATCATTTTCAAGCATGCCTCCTCGTTCATTGCTCGATTTACATTTTCGGTAAATGACAAACCGCAATGAAGCACAATTATTCTAGTTCAAAAGTGTCACGAACACTTGGCACGCATGGTTCCACTGTAGCGAACCTCACGTAATTTAAAACTAGAACGAAAACGGGACGAGATTCGCCTACCGCTTTATGGAGACAGAGGCCTTCGGATCCTAGGCCTCACGGCCGAACTTGGAAGTCGCCTGTGGTCCGGCGATCGGACGAGTCGAGCCGGCCGCGTTGTGCTGACCCCGGCTGACCACGCCTGGTTGAACTATGAGAGGCGCCGTCGAGTTGAGAGCCAGGGACGCAGTAGAAATGGACCGTAAAACATCTGTCCCGTAAAACGTAGAACGAGCCAGCGACGCCAAAACCGCTACGTCGCCATCTCCGCGACGACCGGAAGCGTGGAAGCCGGGAAGTTAGAAAGGCCGCGGCAGCGGAAGCCACCGGGCGGAAGCTTTACGTTTCGGTTTCGCTTTTCTCCGACGCCGGTATCGGTTGAGGAATCGTGGAGAAATCGTGGGGTTTCAGCTGGTTGCGACGAGAGGAACCACGAAAAGACGCCGAGTTGGCCGAGTACGAGTCACGGCCCACGATACGAGCAACGGGCCGTTTGCCGCTGTCAACCGGCGATGCGGTATCCGCGGCTTGGTGTCACGATCAGTTTGTTGCCGTGCACGTTGACTCAAAGCTCGAAGTTATGCAGTTCCGTTCCGGCACCAGCCGCACCACGTTTTCCGGTGCATCGCACGTGGAGGCCTTTCGACGCATTCAGTGAAGGTAAAGATCGTGCCCGCTGTCTTCGGTGCTGTGGAAGAAGTTGCGGGACGGAAGAAGCATGAAAACCAAGGCGTTTAGGACTCCAGGCGGGGCCGCCGGTTCACTCTGAACGAGAGGCGACGTGTGTGCGCACGCTTTGAGGAAGCCTCCGCGTTTCGCCGCGCCAGACGTCGCTGATCGCGACCGGACCAACCGGACCCCGAGTCCGAGACGCTCTTGCACAGCCAGAAATGGCACCGAGTTAGGAGCTGCTCGTTCTGCGCTACCATGCAGTGCTCTACAGTGCTCGGAGCTCTCGGTGTCGTTCGTGCTTGCACCGAAGCCTTTGTGACCCCTTCGGACGCGCAAGTCGTACTTCGCAAAGGTTTGGACGGGCCGCCCTCACCGAGCAGCTCCGCTATATTCGGCTTACTTATGATCGCAATAAAAGCTTGCGTTTGTTTTCGGGAAAAAAATTGTGGGACCGCTCACCGCGCCGCCGACGAGGTTGGCCGCAGCCATGTTCTCAGCTGTTCTCTCGCTCCCGCAGCGAGCGCCTTCCGATAATCCTCCCCGTTCCAAAATGCAATGCGTCCTCCGTTTACATGGGCTGAATGAATGCGCACTCGCCATCTCGATCCACCTCTGTCTAGCGACTTTAATGCGATGCGCTTTCTTTGCGCGTTATGCCGTTTACATGACCGTATATTGAATGCGGCAACTGGATTCAATGCGACTAACTCGCATTCATGTAAACGCGGCTTATGTTCTATTCGACATGTATGGTGTACGTAACGATACCGGTGGTAAACAATGGACGTTTTTGTTGGAAGAGGTTGGTCGTCTTTCTGCATGTATGATTTTATTATACCGGTGGTCCTGCGGTATAAGCGTTTTTGTTGGAAAGATGTCGGTCGCCTACGTCATCGGACGCAAAATCATACCAGCCACAACAAATCATATCGGCAAGCAAACTGGCTGCCAGTATAGACAGACCCGGAGCCATAGCGGTGCCGGTATCTCCAGTTATGCAGCACGCCAAACCAAACTAGCTGCATCCATAATAACAAGAAATTATGGTGGTGTCATACCAGAACTGTACAAGCACCAGGTTTGTTTCTTGTATGTTTTTCCATTATGGTGAAGTTTCAGCAGGGTGCCTACCTACAGAGTGCTCCATACTCTCTCACTCCGTCAATGTGGATGGACTTCCCATCGCTAGAAGTTTGCGAAAGCAGTCTTGGCCGATTCTTGTTTGAGTCAAGGAAAGCGGTGGACAGACCCCTTCTCTTGCTGCTCTCTACGAAGGAGACTCCAAACCTGACGATGTGAATATCTTCATGAAAAGTTCGTAGAAGAGATGGGAACATTGATGACCCAGGGCATCCGTCTGAGCAGCAAGGTGTATGCAGTAAGGCTTCGTTCCTTCGTCTGCGATGCCCCAGCCAGGTCATACATCAAGAGCATAAATTACACATGGCATACTTCGGATGTGAAAAATGCGCTCAAAAAGGGAAGCATGATGGCGAGAGAATCATGTTCCCAGATGTCGATGCCCCACTGCGCACCGACGAAGAGTTTAGAGATCGGGTGAATCTTGACCTACGTTGTGGCACT